TGGAAGGCGATCTTACTCGAAACTTGGCCCAAAGGCCTCACAAGTCAGCTAGATGACTTCACCGACAATCTGTTCAGAACGGGACGCAGGTCGGTAATCTGGGCACTCTGGAGACGGCGTTGCACATTCGAAATGGAAGGTGCCAGACTAGAAGGACCTGAGTTTACGGAGACTATACAACAACAAATCCAAACCGAAATCACTGGGAGATGGGAGGGGGTCAAAACAAGAATCAGAACCCTCGATAGGAGAAAAGATATCCAAGAAAGAATAAAGGAATTCTGCTCGAGCTGGCTTGGGGGACCCGAGGGAGGGAGGATAGGGAAGGTAGAATGGAGAGGGGAACATCAGGAATCGGGGGAGGACCAGGAGAGAAGAGGGATAGTAAGGGATTATCGATTGATCTTTAATGAATGGACGAAAGTGGATATATCCATCCCCTTAAAACCCCCTGGAAATTTCCCCGACTTCTTCCCCCCCCCCTCACATAGCCTGGTAGAAATGCAGTGGTATGGAGGGTGATTGGACTCACAGCCGACAGGAGGGGGGCAGAGGAGCTAGTTAAATAGCAGTTCTTATTTGGCGCCGAGCATGAGGTGAAGAGGTTCCCTGCCCAGACTTCCAGCCCAGTCGACTCCACACCTGACAGTCAGAGTCTTGCTAGTTCCTAGGCCCCTGGGCCCTGGGTGATTGTTCTCCTGGTTTTACGATGTATAAGGGACGCTGGACCCGGTTTCCAGCAGGTGATGCTCCCCACCAATAGATGGAGCCCTTCCCCGAGTGGTAGTGGTGTCTGCTCTTATCAGCACCACTGCCATCGGTGCGATTGTTTCCCAAAAAAAAAAAAAAAAAAAAAAAAAAAAAAAAAAACTTTTTCTTTCTTTCAGGGAGAGGGTCAGAGTGTGGGACAGGGGGGTTGAGGTGTGTGATGGATGTGTTAAATTGTGTTTGTGTCTATACCGGGGGTTGTTTCCAGATGCTTCATCACTCATCATTAAAGCGGCAGTACATGGATACCTGGGCCGCGGGCCTGAGACCTTAAATTCTGGAGGCTCGAAAGGAAAACGCGACCGCCGATAGAATTTATCGATGGCGGGCCCAGCGTTTGACGTTTCGGCCTCGTTTTTCTTGTGGCGAGAAGTTCCGAACTGCAAGGCGGGGGCCGTGTACTTGTGGGGGTTTAACACCACTATAATGACCTGCGGAATCGCAGACTGAGAAACCTGCTGTTTTCTGAGTTTTGCCGCTTGACTGAGTGACTTGCTGAGATTCCTGTATTCTGCCGACATTTCTAAGTTTGTGTCTGTGCGTGATTGCTGAGTTCCATTGTGTTTGTTGTCCGTATGATTGCATGGGTGTGCGTGTGACCTGCTGGGGTACTTGTGTGCTGGGAAAGCCCATGAGCCCGGTACTTACCTGTGGTCATGTTATTGTGCGGGCGCAGCCGGGCAGCAGCATAGGAAACGCCCGCGAAAGCCAAAAACACTCAAGTAGCGGGTAGGTAGGCAGAAGAACAAAACAGTATAGTACCTTGGGATGCTAGCCAACGTAGATTTTAGAGTCGGGGAGGCTTAGAGAAAAAGGTGCTGGTGCAAGTAGCCTGAGTCTAGAGCCCACAGGACAGGATATCAGACTGCAATGGTGTTTCCCTCCGAAACTGGGAAGTGCCGGGTAGACTTGGAGGCCAGGCGGCTTTGAAGCAACTGCGTGAGGAGACACTTTGCCAAGTCGATCAAACTGGGAGGCAAAGTGCTCCACCTCATTTGCTACTGTGCAGTTTGCGAGGCATGCTGCCAGAGCGCCCGCTGAGCTGAGCAGCGCTGAGCGGAGGGACAAGGCGGCCCTGGTCTCCACGTCAGCTATGGTGGAAGTGCAGAGGGAGGAAGGCGGGTAGCAGGGGGAGAAGGAGGAAGACGGTGAGCAAGGAGGAAAGAGTGACGAGGGAGCTTACATGGCTATGGTGGTCTGCATCTTCATCTTCTTCGTTGGTGCTGCACCTAGAAGGCCCCAGTTGGGGTTGATACTTTGAAGGAAGACTCCAGGGGTGGGTGTAGGCATGGCGGCCATAGTAGGAGGGACATAGAAGTTTACTATGTCCTCTGAACATCAGAGCTCCACTCTGATAGTCCGCCATAGCCACCAGCTCGAAGTAGGAGAAAGGCGTAGCATAGGACATGTGGCTGGCAGTAAGGCGAGGATTCGGACATTGGTTCTGGCTCATTCTTTCATTGTTATTCTTGTTCTTGTTAAGAACTTAAGCAGAAGTTGGGGGAGTTATTGGACGTTGAAGAAGGTGGCGAGGTGCAGGGGAATTGACATTGGTACTTGCTGGTTGGTGTTTATCTTTCTTCTTCCTCATCTTCTTCTTCATTCTTATTTACTCTTCATCCTTTGCCTATTTCTCTTTCCACGTCCTTTCATTTCAGTTGCAATTGAACAGCGTTGTCTTTCTTTGAGTTTTTGCACTGCAAGATAACCAGGATTGTAACACAACCCATTCTTTCCAACACCCTCTTGGACTAGGAGAGAATCCTCCATCTTGCATAGTCTCCCTTGGATGAGGTCAAAGTGCATTCTGAAGGCAGTGATGACTGACATTGACTGTGTATTGTAATGGGACGCTGGAGCTGGTTTCCAGCAGGCGGAGCTCCCCACCAATACATGGAGCCTTGAACTCAGGGGACCACTTAATGAAGATGCTCTTATATCACCTTCTTGAGCGGAGGCCGCTCGAGTCAAAGTTAACAAACAAAAAAAAAAGGGCAGTGATGACCGGTTGGGATAGCAACAATGAAGGTTATTCAGCATCACTCATGGTCAGGCCCTATGTTTAAGGGTGTACCCCTCAGCTTGTGGAAGCACTATCATCCTTTTGCACAATTTCTGGTTTACCGCGTACCTTATGGTGCAAGAAGTTCGGAAGCACTCAAGCTACAATCGGTGTTTGTCGTTGTGACCAAGTTGCCTCTATTCCGGCTTTCCCCGAACATAACGCGCCCTCCTCAAGAACGTAAATAGTAAATACAAACCCTATTCCAGTCCAGTCATGATGACAGCGCACTGTGTTCGGGTAAAGAAGGTCAAGTTAGAAAAGGCCGTCGGCGCCGTCCTGATTTTTTTATTTTATTTTTTAAAGCTGCTTGGGTCACTAGGCGGGGGCTGTCCTGATTTAATAAGTGCCGCCTGCATAAATTGAGCTGTACAAATCAATTTGAACATTTCCCAATTGAGTGAAGTGGACAGCCTTTATCAAATTGATAGCAGATGGTAACCACAGGTAGTCTCATTGCCTATCGTCTTCCCCCTAACAGAACTCAGAGTCATCATGCATGTATTTCCTCAATTTTCCTCTCATACGGTCATGATGAGGATGCGTTTTTCATAGGAAGACAAGGCAGTTTTCTCCCTGTTCGGAATGGCTCATCCTCACTACTATCTTCCCCTGAACGTAAGGCATGGCCATTATAGCGGTAGGGGGGCCAAAACTTATGCCCCTAAATACCGTTATAACTTATAAGTTATAATAATGAGCATGCAGTGCCATGCACTAAATTAGGGGGAAGATGATAGGCATTGTTACTTCACTGCAACCATTTGGAGAAAAGGGTACAGTGGCAAAAGATGTTACGATCCTGGCCAATTTCGAAGTATACATTCATCAGAAAGTACAATGCCATCCAATTGCAAAAAGAAATGAATGAACTTGAGAGGAGAGAGAGGGAAAGAAGAAGAAGATGATGGACTCCAGCATAGACCAATGACAAGGCTCTTCTTCTTCGCCAACCAATCTCCTCCTCCTTATCTCCTCCCCTCTTATTCAAACAATAAATAACAATAAAATGTTGAATGGCTGAACCAGAATCAATGTCCGAATCTGACTTCTACTGCAGGCACAACATGAGGTCCACCATAGCCATGGCCACCCTTCTCCTTCCTCGTCATTGCAGGCCGAGGCTATGGCGGACTACGGAGGCTTCCACCTCCTGCCCAAAGGACAACCCAAAGCAGCTATTTCGCTGCCACTGCTCACTGAACCGCCATGCCTGACTCTACCCCGAGCTTCCTTGGTGCGGCACTACCCGAACTGGGCCTTCCACATGCAGCGCCTAACAAGGTGATGAAGATGGTGTCCACCATAGCCAGGTAGGTACCTCGCCACTCTCCCCCTTGGTCCCCTCCTCCCTCCTCCTCCTACCGGCCGAGCTCCACCATAGCCGAGGTGGAAGCTCCCGGCTTCTTCCTCCCAGCAGCGCTGTAGCAGCCAGCGCTCTTCCAACCAGCGCTCCAACAGCGCGACGCCCAACTCGCACACTGAAGAATGAGGCCGAGCTCTTGCCTCGGCCTCTTGATATAGCGGCCTGCTTGCCTCCTGGGCGGTCACTTCCAGGCCGCTCGGCCTCCCAAGCAACTGGTACCTCCTCCCTTTTGGAGGGAAACATCATTGCAGACTCTGATATTGCCCATACAGGCTCTAGACTCAGACTGGATGGACTGGTACCAGCCTAGACCTAGCTTACCGCTACTGGGCCTCTAAAAATGCCAACTTTGTCTTCTTCTGCTCGGCCTTGAGTACCTGGCACATCTACTGCTACTGGGTGCGGTACCTGCTACTTGAGTGTTTTTCCGCTGCTCTAAGTGCCGCGGGCCTCTGGCTCCACCACTTGAGTGTTTTCCCCTGCTGCAACCCTCAATGCCACGGCCACAGGTAAGTACCGGCCCTACGGACATGCCAAACAAGCAAGTACCCTTGCGGGTCACACACACACTCATGCCGACAAGCACTCAGACAGGCACGCACACATACAGACTTAGAAAACATAGCAGAATGCGGGAATCCCAGCAAGGCATCCATTCCATCGACAGAACTTCAGAAATCAGCAGTGTTCTCAGTCTGTGTTATTGCGGGTCATTTCAAAGGAAAAAAAAACAAAAAAGAGAGATTATGGGATGGACAATCGCTTAAGAAGGTACAGATCCATGTGGTGGGTTCTGCTTCACACCTCTCCAGTGTTAAGAAGACTGTTTATGTCTTCAATGAACCCCTCCTTCTTGATCTGCGTGTCCGAGAAAAGAAACATCACGCGTTTGTCTAGTTCGCCAGCTTTACGCAGCACCTGCCGCAAATCCTCCCGCCATTCTGTCATCCCATATGACTTGGTTAACTCAACCTGCACCCAATACATACCAACCATCGGACCCATTTCCAAACTGGATTGGACACAAGAAACTAGGGCACAACAAGCTTGAAGAAACAAGAACATGCAAGTACGAAAAATAGAGACCAAGGACGGGATTTTCATTTCGATATTCTAAGTGGGTTGTTCCTCCTGCTTACTCTTCAATACATGGATTATCGATAAGGAACATTGATTGGCACTCTGGTGCTCAGTAACCTTATGCATTAGAGATTGAGCTGCACCAATCTGCCAGGCCTTCCAATGGAAGAGCGTTCACTAAGAAGAACGATACTTTCATGGGCCTCAGACTGGCTTCCTCTGAAGAGACCAATCACCAAAAAGAACAGTGACAATGGCGGCAACAACAACAACGGTGACAATGACAACGACAACAACAATGATAGTGGTGGTGACAACAACAACGGCGACAACGCCGACAACAACAATCATGAGGACAATGACAACAACAACAACAACAACAACAAGGGATGTGAAAGGATTTCACGCATTTCCTGCCTCTGAGTCCCAGGTCCAGTCCCAGAATTCCCAAGATGCCATGTCCCGCTGCTGCAGCTTTTTTTTTTTTTTTTTTTTTTTTTTTTTTTTTTCAACACAAGGCTCTTGTGCAAGGCCTCTATCCTGGTGGTGGTAAGAGAACCACCGGAATTGAGGCATTGCCTGATGGGCCACTCCATCTATTGGTGGGGAGCGTCACCTGCTGGAAACCGGGTCCAGCGTCCCTTGATTACATCATTTCTTGTATAACATAGAAACAAAACATTGAGAATTCGAAATGTGCCGCCTCCTCAGGCTCAAATAGCCTGCCAGATAATCAAGTAGAATCTAGCTGCACCATACCTAAGACTCTCCAGTACCAAACCATTGTAGATCCACCAAAGATAGTGCAGATGGCAGGAAGAGGTTTGGGAACAGATCTGGAGATCTCAATGAAGCTCCTGGGCTGATGTCAAACCAGTTCTGGAAGGTAATCAGATAGTCCCTTTTAAGTGGAACTCCCTCCCCTTCTCCACCTGGCCAAGATACATCCCCCAGTTTCTCCCCTGAGGCATCCCCAGCCAGCTCATTTGGAATCTTGTAATTTTTGTTTTATATCTTTTTTTTGCGTGAGTGTTTTCAGTTCAGACTTGGTTCTGTTCCGATGTGCCCTGATTTCGATTAGAATAAATTGTAGAACTAAATCAGCTACGTCATTTCCTTCGATTTTTACCTCCTCCCATGTTAGTACACACCTTTTGTGCCATAACACCCAGAGGATTGCTTTTCTTCCCGGACTGAACAAGTTTTGCTGAAAGACAGTCAAGGTAAACATCACTGGATTCCAGTGCCCCAAACGTAATGCACGCCAGGCTCCAGTTCTGTCAGTAGAAGTCTCCGGTAGGCTGTAGGGGTCCAGTCCCCGAACAAAGTTTCACTCCCAAGAATAGCAGCAGCATCCAAGAACAAACTACAGATTCCGTGCGGGAGGCTGGTGCGCTAGCTAACACGAGCGTCCACACTTTTTTCGGGCACGTGTGGATGCGTAGTGGATGGGCGAGCACCATGCGTCGAATCGCTTCATTAGGATGAAGGAATTGTACAGGGTGACACGTGGCACAAGTGAGTGGGAGACACTCAGTAGGACCTTGTATTTGGTCTTCGTCCAGGAAAGCAGAATCCCATCTGGTGGCGCCGTCCATCGTGATCAGCCCCGTCAGGCACGTGGCTTTCATGGTGCCTTCTCTGACCTTCAGTGGAGAGAGAGGAGCCGGTGGAGAGGTGGGAGGGGGTGCAATGCGTACCCATTCCTTGTCAACTCCAGGGAGGGTGTAATTGGAGGGATATTTATAGCGCGGATAGCATGGAAATTGTTGATACATTGTGGGGTGACATCATGCGCAACGGGTAAAGCTTCTATGTTTAGGAATGACAAGGGTGATTTCGAAAGTTGAGGTTATGAGTGGATAGTGACTGAGCGGGAGCAAAGGGGTCATTGACGCGTTCTCAGGAGGAACAGTGGGAGACGCATCATCAGCAAGCAGTAAGGCGAAGATCGACACAAAGCTTTTGACGGTGACGTTCCCTCTTCCCTTCGTACTCTCGACCAGGCCATCTGCTTGTCTCAAACCCTCTGATTAATACACAACCAGTCCTTTGTGAAAAGTAATTCTGAGAACGAATTAATAATCAATTTTCAATACTAATAATTAATACCATTAATTGACTGGGCAAAAGGCCGATCGGCTAGCGTGACATAGTAGCCGAGTTTTATTTATTTATTTATTTGATCACTGCTGGTCACAATGCCGAGAATAGTTCACCGTTAGCGTAGTCACAAGATGGTCGATTCAACGTTAATGTTTAGAGGGGCGATGCGTCACATTGTTTCACGCCAGCTTCATACCCCTGTGAAAACGGTGTTGGTGGCCCGTCAACAACAGGAAAAATGTCACAACAAAGCAATGGAGATCTCGTCTTCGATGGAGGGCGAAGTCCTTACCTCAGAGGAACGAAGGGAATGGAAGGAAAGTCTTAATTCGGAGTGTGACCCAGCCCCCCCCTCTTCGAAGGAGAAGGCAGCGGAGTAAACGGGGAGCTTAGGACAAACAGCACCCAGTCCTTCCACTATGGGGACGTCAGTCTTTCTTCCCCCAGCCAGTAACACGTCTCCCCCCTCAGAATCTCAGCAAATCACAAGGGGGAGTGATGATGCTCAATCCCTTATTTTGCCAAAATGATCAGGGGAAATTGACATCGAGGGAAGGAAATTCGAAGGGACAGGGGATAGGCTCCGAATATCAGCGATCGTCACTATTAATTGGGGACACTCTGATGATGGGCCACCAGCGTACATTCACGTCAGGAGGTCAGGGCCAGTTACTGTTACAGAGTCCTATGGGAGGCAAAGGAGGTATGGTTACTCAAACGGGTCCACTACAGAGGATATCATAGGGGTTGAGGGGAAGAAGGGAGTAGGAAGTAAGAAGGGGGATAGAGGTAAGGAAGGAAGCTGGTAGGGGTGGTGAGAAGGGGGAAAGGAAGGAAAGAGGGGAGGAGAGAGGGCAAGAAGGTGGAGGAGAGGGAAGGGAGGAAGGAGGTACGGAAGGGGGAAGTGGTAGTATGGGAGGAAGTGGAGTCGGGCAGGAGGGGACAACGTCAGGATTTATAACACATCTGCCTGTTCAGGGGCAGGAGTGGCCTCCTCTACAGGGAATGAAGTTGACCGATGAGGGTCAATCATCACATCCAGTAACATCTCCTTCGTCATGGTTACAATGCATCAAAGGGCCTTTTGAATCTACAGAATTGGAAATCCCAAGGCAGGGCGCTCAGTCTCAATCGTTGAAAATACCTATGAGAAATCTGGCCACGGCCAAGGCTTTTTTTTAATTTAAATTTATTATCCCTTCAGAGAGCCGGGTGATTGAATTAGCAGGAAAAAAAACAACGATAAAAACTTACCCGTTTCAAAAATTGGCGGAACGTGACAAAGTTTATTCAACACATGCAAATAACTTGGTCTTCCATGGTGATGATGCTTACAAATCCACTAATAATAAGATTAAGTGGATATGCAAAAGGTTATCAGCGTTCAAGGGCAGCTACGAAGCAGTTTGTGAAGACTTTCTTATTTTGTCAGTTCCAACAACCATGTTTATAATTCTGAGTTTACACACGACTGATAAAAAGACGATTGAATCCTGGAAAAAAAAAAGGTGTGATCGATCAGAGGTCCGGATCTATCCCTGGACGCCGCCTAAAGAGGGATCAGATGAAAAGAGAAACCAAATGATGAAAATTTTATATTGGGTGGAATTCAGGCACATCTCAATAGAAATCCAAGCGGCATTCATTCATGACTTTGGGGTAAATCACGATATAGTTGACTTTCTAGACCCCCTCCCCGCGTATGTGGCTAGAAGGGATGACCATCTGATGTTGGCTCTCAACCACCCGACCACGGTGCCCTTCAATTTGGATGACGTCATCCCATACAGGGTAGAGGGTAGAGAATACCGCATTCGCACGGCTCATGAACTGAGGCCGTGGTGTTTTGGATGCAGAGCTTATGGACACTTGAGTACAGATCCTAATTGCACACAAAATCCGGGAAGGAGGAATAGAGCAACAGAAAGGCTCATTAGGGATCCCTTCAAAGTTAATCTATGAAGGATGGTTGATGTTGGGCATGAGGGATGGGTCTACGTGGAGACTGCCAAGAAGGGGGAAACGCCTAAAGGTTGGACATGGGAGCGTGAGGGGGATCCTAATTGGGACACCAACCCCCCTGACTCTTACCCCCTGAAGTAACAGTAAAAACACCCACGATGGTTGCACAGTCAACACAGTCAACTCCCCCGGCACAACCCGTGCGCTATGATAGCACACAGGCCTCCTCGTCTGGAGCGCAAGAGAACTTTAAGGCAAAGGGGAAGAAAGAGTTCTCTCTGTCTCCATATAAGGAAGTCCTAGGACCCAGGGATAAAGGCAAGGGGCCAATGAGTCATCAACAATGGATACCAGTTAACCACAAAAAGTGGGTACACTCCCGGGTCCACAACCAGCAGACTACCTGCAGCTAGGGGAAAAGGGGGTAAATGCAGTACAGTCCAGAGGGGAAGACTCTGACTCAGAGTCTGAGGAATGGGTGGGGATGGTAGACGAGGGTTCAGTCGAGAGGCTGGTTCAATTTAAAAAAAAGGAAAAAAAAGAAAAATAAAACAGTTAACCAGTCCACACAAGGAGGTTGTTCTCACCGGTGATAAGGACTCCCTCATGGAAGAAGCCCAGTTTGATGCACTCAAGTCTTCGCAAGGAATGACTAGGGGAAATGAGAGTACAAGAGACCTGATGGGGGAACCAAAAGTAGTTGAGGAGGAAGATCCAAACTTAGTAGTGGAGGGAGCGAAAGCAACAACCCGCTCCAAAAGGCCTTTGGTCCCGATCCAATGGATGTGGACTCCTCCACATGAGATTTTGAAATGGAGGATCCA